CAGGTCAGGTGTGGGGGGCCAGCCCAGGTCAGCGTGTGGGGGGCCAGCCCAGGTCAGCGTGTGGGGGGCCAGCCCAGGTCAGCATGCGGGGGGCCAGCCCAGGGGTCGTGTGGCTCTGGTAACAGAAGTTTGTTTGTTTGTTTGTTTGTTTTTAAATCTTCAGATCAATATAAGAAAAACACAAAGATCCAACAGAAAAGTGAGCAGAGAATATCAAGGGGAAAAAGGCGAGGTGGTTGATCAACATTCCCTACAGAGTAACTCACCTTCATCAGGTAAGTGCAAGCTCAGGTGACAGGACCTCTTCAGGGGGGGCAGGAGGGATGGATTGCAGGAGGTGGGACCACAAGGGCCACCGTACCACTGTCCCTGGCTGTGAGGAAGATCCATGGGCCAGGATTGCCGAGCAGCTCTGGAGTCCCTGCCCTCACTCCCAAACCAGTACAGCGTCCCCGTGACTGACGGCACGCCAGGCAGGACCCTGCACGCACAGAAAAACAAACGAAAAAAGCAACACACAGAGCAGAATATTAAAAAAAAATTAGATAAAACATGGAGTGAACTTAATTACCTTTTATGTCCATGGTCATACTTGATCTCAGAACAGCCTTACAAGGTAGTTCTTTTATCCTCATCCATTGATGAGGAAGCTGAGCCTTCGTGGTTAAAATACCTTGCCGAAAGCACACAGTTTTGACAGGCAGGGACCACAGAACGGAACCAGGCTACTTCAACTCCAGAGCCTGTGATTTCTGGCACGAGAGATGTGCTTGTGGCTTACCTCCCCTGCAAAGAGCTTGCGGCCTGCTGGTGCTTCCCAGGGTAGGAAAGGATAGCTGTGCATTTCAGAGGATTAAAGCTTGACCTACTGAAGGGAACTGGGAAAGGTGGGCCAAGGGAGAACGCAGGTATGTTCTAAGGAGGAGAGGTGGGAGAGGGCATGGCATGTTGGAAGGACAGTGATTAGCTCATTATGGTAGGGAATACTAAGGGGAGCCATGAGAAATGGGGCTGGAGAAGTAAGCAAGGGCCAAATCAGAAGGGCTTCAATCCCCCTTCACCTGAAGGAGGTGGGAGCTATGGAAGGCGCTTAAGCAGGGAGTGACATGAGATGAGAATTTCAAAAAGGACAGCAGAGTAGCAAGTCTGGGTCAGGACTCGCCTGGAGGCAGGGAGGCTGCTGTTGTTACAGGGCAAGTCGTCGGGAGGAATGGGAAAGGAAGGGGTTAGAACTAGGAGCAGTTATGGAGAAACCATTAATCAGAGGGGGCACCAGGATTTGGGAGGAAAGGAGACCAAGTCTCACTTGAGCAGCTAGCTGGGTGATGGCACTCGGGAGAGAGGGATCCTGGAGGAGAGCCAGTTTGGAGTTTGAGGGGTGATGAGCTCAGATAATGATTGCCAAGGGTAACTAATAAAGAAAAAGATCTTAGGTCTTCCGTCTTCCTGTTCTGTCTGGTTGCTGGGTGTATCGTAGCTATGTGAAAAATACGGCAGCCTCAGAGAAAATACTGGCTGTGAATAAAAGTTAAATGTATTTATTTAGATAGGGCTTACCATTCTTATTGCAAAAGTAATATAGGTAAAGAAAATTGAGAAAATACAGGTAAGCAAAAATAAAAATGGTTGTTACCCAAATACAATCTTCAGATGACTTGTAACATTTTGCCTTATATACCTCCAGTTTTCCCCCATATATGTGTATATATGTATATATATGAGCACCTT